TCTCTCTCTCTCTGTCTCTATAGGGAAATGCAGCATGCATATCAATGGCTTCTCACGGGGATATAAATAGAACAATGATAACCGCATCCCATACTTGAAAATTGAGTAACGAGCACTGCACGCATGCGTTGATCAGCTGACGTGGAAGGATGGGCGATATCAGACCCTCAAGGCCCAGAGGTGCTCATTCATGATGCATGTGAAGGAGTGGATTTCGAATCGCTGCCTGGCTCATGTCAGTCATTCACTATCACTCATCAGGGATATTCATTGAACGTCCATCTACATACAAGAAATTCATCTTCACTGACACCATTGTCTATTATATTATGCATGGCCAATGAGCTATAGTATGGAGCATAAATGGGGTGGAGCGGTGGTGCAGTTGTTGGTGGACTGAGCAATGAACGTGAAGACCTGAGATACATTCTTAGCAACGGCTCTATATGAGCTGATCCCGGGACCAGCTGACACTGATAACCTGGTAAAACATGGTCAAATGTTGTTGAGCAGGCAAAGCATTAACAAGCCTCCATTCAGGATCAGATGAATAAAAGCCTATTATTAACGTCATTGTGGACGAATCTCCCAGTTCAACGTTCACTGGTCAATGTTGAAAATTCCACATTCTATTCTCATGGCAGAGACAAGGTTCTGTACAGGATGGCCACCGTTGACATCTCACATATCTGATACCGAATTCATCAACCCTGGAGGGATAATGGGCTCTGACCCCCCCCCCCCCCCACGGAACCCCCGCCCCCAATTCCAATTATAAGTCAAGCGCTCTGTCATGATGCCTGCTGGAGCACGTGATCGTACAGCTTTAAGTGTAACTCATCCACGTGTAAAGTATACAAAAAATACACGAGGATCATTTCCTCTGCACCTTTCCATCCGGAAAGCATCGGAGTTTTGACGCCGAGCAGGACCAAGAACTAATTATGGCCAAAAAAAAAAACGCTCAAGAGATGTGGACCTTTTTGGAGACTCTTATAATAATAGCTCAAATAAATTAGATGATAGCAATGCTGGTTGACATTACTCGGAGAAACGTGCCACGCCACACCCCACAGGGGGGCAATTGTTTTGATATGGTGCTGCCATGACCCGCTTGACGGGCGATCGGTCGATGACCATTTATATAAAAAAGGAGGGCCGACAGAATGGAGGTGTGATCTTGATTATGTTACACCTTGCAAATAAAACGATTGGCAGCGCATATACATCATCAATCTTCTCCCATAGGTTATACGGCATCGATTAGGCGGCGCAAGCACGCTCCGCCGTCCCCACGATATAAATAGCTAAGGTCTGGTAAAGTGTCAATTTTCCATGAGGGCAAAAAAAAAGTGTCTTTGAGTTAGGCAGCAAGGGGGGCCTTTAACGCCACGCTTGACTGTGAAATTAAAGAGCACATCTTCCGCGCACACTGTGGCTGGCATTAACTCGAATAATAACGCAATTAGCAACCGCGAGACGCCAAGGTATAATACAGTAAACGGGTTTGCTTAATTAGTATCGACAGGACTTCTCAAATACTGACGTGCAATCAACTGGGGAAGCGAGGTGTAAATCCATTTGCGTGACCGATGCACATGCTAACATTTTTTTAATACCCTTTGGATTTTTCATTTACCTGGGACTTAACCGGTAAAGAAAAGTTTTTTTTCGTTGTATAGTTTAATTTAATGAGCAACGAGTGTTTTCAGTTGGCAAATTTGCAACAAAAAAATACACCGACGCTGTTTTCCAAAGGTTTGCGACGTCCCTTGCCGATACTGAGTAGCAACATGTTTGATGGCACCACCGGTGTTAATCTGTGACAAAAGATTCCGACGCGGTCGTGGGCCAATTGACACACGTGCAATATTTTGTCAAACGTAGCACGTAATTAACTCACGCACGCTCAGATGAAACTCGGTGTGGACCGGCTCCTCTGAGAGTCTGAATGCCGCGAGTCTTAACACAAGTCTCCCTCGCTAACCTAATGAGCAAAAGGTATAAATGGAATGGCAATGGCATTGCTCCGAGCTAACAGAGAAAGATAGGTAGGCTTGGCAATAGAACAACATCACACATCAGGGTGAGAAATTGAGGTTATATAACTACAAAAGATTTCAATGCTGACGGGTTCCATAATTGCATTGCCTTCTGCGAGCCATGGACACAAACACCTCCTACACTGCGACCCTCTAAGATATTACACACAGCTCTATTGCCCGTTGGTTGCACACAGAGTAATTGTACATACAACAATCAAAATGAATACGTGGATTTGAGATGGAGGACAGTTAATCACTCACCTGTGCGTGCGCGCTATGATAACAGTTTTGTATGATGCGTTTTTAGTTTTTACTGCATCATTATATTTTTTTACTATTATTAGTATTCATGATATGTTGTTAAACTTGAACCTAATAGGGGAACTCCAATGTCTCCACGACAGTGCCCGGTATTGTAATATAGCACTGTGCTTCGTGTATTTTCAACGCCTAAGAACAAATGACCCAAGATGTACCCGCACCTTAACGAGCCGAGAGCAGCCCGGTTCATGCTATGATGGGTGACCGCCAGGGCTTGCGTTTGAGATTCGGGGCCGCGTTGTGATCAGGCGTTGGCAATGCACCTCAGATCAGCGCGGTTGGCAACGTACGGTGAGAGAGAAGTTCAACGTACGTACATGCTCGGTGTCGCTCCTTCGTATTTGTGGGGGTTTTCTCCGGCTACTCAGTTTTTCTCTCAGAAGTCAACCACTCATTCATGGAATTGGCCAAACATCCCAAAACAGGGTCCCCCCCCCCCCCCCCCCCCTGCAAAGAGCCTTGAGAGTCGGTGAATCTTTCCTGGAACAATAATTGTAATCATTAAATATTTACCATCGGTAGTGGTAACTGGCATCGCAATTCCACGGGCATGGGATTTATGCCGATGCAATGATGTGCGTGCGCATTCACTCTGGCGTACGGTGCAGCGAGTGAGCCTACACGGTACAACGCATGCACCTAACTGCCGGCGTTAAAAATGCACCGCGAGTGCGGAAACGCACGTACACGCTCGTAATGAATCACCACAAGCACCGTTCAGCTGTAGCCAATGAGCCCGGCGTGTCTCGTACGTGCAAATACAACAACACTGTGAGCAATGCGTCCGTGCGGTCGACTACCCCGAGAAGCGTTTTGCCGTCTTTAGGCAGTTGAGCACGTTCGGTTGTGTTTCCACCACCGTGCTACCGGGGGCCGCCTCCTTAAGATCGGGGAGCGTGGGGCTGAATTTGGGGCTCAGAGCACATTCCTTACAGCTATCTCTAGGCTACCCGCCCCCGCTCAGCGCACAATGAGCAGTCTTTAATTCTCTCTCCCATCCTTGAAATTAGCGCAAAACACCCACTCGCTCCTTCTCTCTCACCCTCTCGTCCACGCAAGCTTTGGATTCAGTCTCGAAATCCCAGCACCGAGCAAACATTTTTTTGGGGTGAGAACATTCAATATAAACGTGGTCTCTTGTTTCGATGGCGGTAATTGCACGCTTGCCCGTGGTACACGATTGTGAAAGGGATCTGAGAGCTCTCCGCTGCTATGGAATAGAAACGTAGCAATGGGGCAAAACAATAAAGAAAAACTGGATGTGAATGAGACACCCGCGTTTAAGAGACTGCTAGCGGTGGCATGCAGACTCAACTAAAACACGGGCGAGCATTCATCAGTAGCTGTGCCCCATAGCGGAAAACGCACACAGGCAGACTGACGTTACGCAAAACAATCCCTTCAAAAGCAGGACGCAAAGTTCTTATTTTTATTTGGTCCAATTGCTCAAATTATAATCACTGTATTTTTTCCCCATCTCGTACAATATATTTACGGATGTCAGGCTAGAGATGTCACAACCGTGACTGTTCGCACCTCCGACGAGGACGTTTGGCTACGTACGATGCGTGCAAGAAGTTCAACGTGCACGCGTACGTTCGAGTCTGCATTGTGAGTCATGCATAAACCGTGCGCTTGCATGCATGCGTGTGTGTGTTTGTGTGTTACGCGCATTCCCCCGCCGCTACCGGCACTCGCTCACTGCCCCCCCTCCACCCCGTGTGTAACAAGGCGCGCCATTCTCTCTCTCTGCGTTGTGCACATGGCCCTTGCGAGTGGCGATTTTCCATCGGGCTCAAATCGGAGAACGAAGAGCCGAGAAAGAACGATGCGAAAACGAAAAAAAAGGGGGGCAACAAAAGAGAGAAAGGGACTAAGGAGCGATGGAGAGAGGTCATTGTGTGAAAGCGACGTTCGAGAATTAGGATTCAAAGCAGCGCGCTGAATCGCATCGCATGTGACGATGCCGCACACTCATCTATGCGCAGAGCGAACAGCAGAGGGTGTTTTGGGATTGGCAAGCGAGATATTGGGAGACGTTTAACGCAGCGGTCGGGCGGGACTGCCGCTCGTTTGGGCTCGCACTTGGGCTCCAAATGAACAAAACTCTCGCAGAGGGCACGTTATCTCCCCACACGTTATCTCCCCACACGTTATCTCCGCACACGTTACCCCCAATTGTGAAGAGAAGATGCATGCGCTCCGTACGCACGCGCGCACGCATGCCGAACGGACTTTGCGCATAGGAAACGTAACGTTGGAGTGGAGGAGAACCCGGTGCTTCGAGCTGCATCAACACGAGGCTATTATTGCGCCGAGATGAATTAACCGAGACAACAACAACAACAACTAAAAAGCGGCAACAATCAACTGAAAAAAACCACGACCCCCCCCCCCCACCAGACACACAAACAGGCTACTCTGTCGCGAAAAAGGCGTGAGAAAGTCGCGTTGAGTAGCAACAATGCTGTGGCGAGGCGGGATCACGAGCGCTTCCAAAAATGACACAATCGTGCGCAAAGAAAAAAAACCCGGCGCAAGTGAATGTCACGGCGCATCGCGTGGCCGTGCGATCGTAATCTCCGTCGCGCACACAACGCGCCGCCAACACACGCGCTCTCGCACTCGACTTACCGACGAATTACAGCCAGTTTTGTCTTCTCCGGTCGCTCCTCGGTCGCAGATTTTAATCCAATAAAACAACCCCCCCCCCCAACTACACGGCAGAGCAGAGCGCCAGGGCGCATGCAGTAGACGCGAACATCACGCTGGCGCGCCTCTCACCCATCAAGTTTCTCGCTTTCTGATCTTCCTCCTATTAACGAAGCTGCTGATGTTGCTGCTGTTGTTGCTGCTGCTGCTACAAGTATCCTTCCTCGCTACTGCGGGATGTCCGAAACGAGCCTCTCCTCGGAGCTACTCGACGCGAATGCTGCGGAGATTGAGCGCGAAAGCCCCGACCCGAAGAAGCAGACGCTCACGAGGAGGAGGACGAGGAGGATGTGTTGACGATGGCTTTGAGAGAGGAGGAGGAGGCGACGAGCGGAGACGCGGAATCCATGCGCAGCACAGCGAGACGCCCCTCTGTCTTGCATCGCAACACTCTCGCTTTACAACCAGCGGCTGTGCACCGCATTGCAACCTTCTCTCATCATCAGCAGCAGCAGCACCACCATCATATCATCATCATCATCATCCAGAGGACGGCACGCATCTTCTTTTACGAGTCCCACTCTCGTGCGATATTGTGTTGACACGCTGCTCCCTCACATGGAGAATGAAACACATTGCACTGCTGGCTAGCAGCGAGCAAACCTACACGCGCGTAGACAGAGCACACGACACTTTCGGCAGGTGCACGTCTCGAATGAAATGCGCGCCTATTTACGTGTCGCTGGTTATGACAAGTCTGGCCGTCCTGAAGGAAAAAAAGAAGCAATATAATCTGATGCGAAAACGTAAATATCACTGCGTTAATCGAGAGGATTGGGCAAAGTAGCTCCGCGGTTCGAACGGGGCTCGCGTTTCTTCTGATCGCCTCCTTTCGGCTCCAAGCGTTTCCAATGCGTCTCCCGGGGCGAGCGAAAGAGCGAGTCAGCTAAAGGCACGGAGAGAGAGAAGAAGAGGGGGGGGGGGGGAGAAAGATTACGATAGACCAAACCGGGGCTGTGCGCAAAACGCGGAGAGAGCGGAGCGCGGATTCAGGAGTGTCGGGTATTTATTGTACTGGCTACTTAAGATGTTCTCACTGATAAAGCCGCGAATGTATAGACAACACCATTGCGAACCCGTAGTATGTAATTGCGCATGCAGTATATACTGCAGTAGATGCACAATAATACATCTACGACGAAGAATGCTGAAATAGTATGGTCTCTATTCTACATGTGTTGACACGGCCAACACGAAATGAGTCTTTTCGTACGCACGGTGCAATTATTATTTATTCATGGGAATGCTCGACTCGCAGATTGGGTTAGCGTTCAATCCCGACCCGTGCTCGAACGATGGACATCATTGTTCAGTCCCGTTTTCTAGGAAGTCAACGGTGGCCGTCATATAGGCGGTCCGGCACCCGTCACGGGAATGTGGAATTTCCAGTTCTGGCTCGAGGGACGCCAAGCGGAGGAAGAGCGCCGCTCTCTTTTCGCATGAAGAGACACTGACGTTCAGACCAATGCTGCTACATGCATGTTATGAGCATGTGCAACGTGTAACTTACAAAGACAAAGACCCCCCTAACGTATAGCCTCATAAACAGACTTGTGGGGGGTGTGCTGCCAGCGAGCCAGTGCGGCTCACGAGGGCGTGGGTGGCCAGTGGCGATGTTTACTCACCGCAAGCAGTTACTCGTTTGAGGCTGAGTCGACCTAGGGGAGGCCCAGGACCGGTTCAGACAATTGCCACCGTTGATGATCGTCAAGCGGGAATTGAACTCGGGTGGCCGGGTCGCGTAGCGCGGCGCGCTAACCGCTGCGCCACCGCTCCCCACCTACGCGCGCACCATCTATAGACTGCACGCACGCGTGGTGATGGATTTAAGAAACCTTTCTGCAGCACTCACTGGGAATTTTCCAGTCTGCGCGTTTCATCTTCTAGGATTTTGGAGGGAACACGTTTGCAGGTGCGTTCCTTTCAACGCCCGTTCTACGTTAAAGGCGAGCAAGGAGCATTAATTGCACGCGCGTATATATATATATAAAAAAATCTTTGCTAATTAAGAATGCGCGGCTGGTATTTGGGAAGGTAACCCGTGTCTGTGGAGAGGGGAGTGGTGGCGCAGTGGTTAGCGCGCTGCGTTACGTGAACACACACACTCTGGGTTTGACTCACAGCCGCAGCGAACATCAGATGAACGGGTCCTCAACCCTACTTCACCAACACGCACTACCGACCATCATGATGAAGTATGTTCAGACGACCTCCTTTGACTAACATGGTGCGGGAAAGGCCTTCACCCAGCAGTGGGTTAACCCTTGCGGATTATGATGGTGTCCCAGGTTTTTTACATGATGATGATTTTAAGAGAAGATTGACGATTGGACATACTGCGTGCGCGCTTTCAGACATTGATAGCATTCATCCATAGTGGGAAATCGTATATAGCAATACAGTTATAACTGCACGTAACTTACCCTTCGTGTCTCGAAATATTCACAACCATAACCGATTACGGACGATGCCCACAGACTGACCAGCGGCGTTATAAATGGTCAGCAAACTGGACCTGTAATCCAGGTGTCGCCGGTTCGATCTGCCGGCGCGCGCTGGATGTGAGACGACGTTACGGCTGATCCACGCCGTGCCAGCCTTCAAGGAGCAGTGGGCGATGGATGGAGGAGGCCGTGTGCTCGGTGGCAGATGACGGGGAGCTCTGCGTGCAGTTATGAGCTACCCGTCGGAGGCCGTTGGACTGCGAGAAGGGCTGCGTGCAGAGCGAGAGAGAGCGAGAGAGTGACCGAGAGAGTGAGAGAGAGTGACCGAGAGTGACCGAGAGAGTGACCGAGAGAGTGACCGAGAGAGTGACCGAGAGAGTGACCGAGAGAGTGAGAGAGAGAGTGACCGAGAGTGACCGAGAGAGTGACCGAGAGTGACCGAGAGAGTGAGAGAGAGAGTGACCGAGAGTGACCGAGAGAGTGACCCGAGAGAGTGAGAGAGAGAGTGACCGAGAGTGACCGAGAGAGTGAGAGAGAGAGTGACCGAGAGTGACCGAGAGAGTGACCGAGAGAGTGACCGAGAGAGTGAGAGAGAGAGTGACCGAGAGTGACCGAGAGAGTGAGAGAGAGAGTGACCGAGAGTGACCGAGAGAGTGACCGAGAGAGTGACCGAGAGAGTGAGAGAGTGACCGAGAGAGTGACCGAGAGAGTGACCGAGAGAGTGACCGAGAGAGTGACCGAGAGAGTGACAGAGAGAGTGACCGAGAGAGTGACCGAGAGAGTGACCAAGAGAGTGACCGAGAGAGTGACCGAGAGAGTGACCGAGAGAGTGACCGAGAGAGTGACCGAGAGAGTGAGAGAGAGAGTGACCGAGAGAGTGAGCGAGAGAGTGACCGAGAGAGTGAGCGAGAGAGTGAGCGAGAGAGTGAGCGAGAGAGTGACCGAGAGAGTGAGAGAGAGAGTGACCGAGAGAGTGAGCGAGAGGTGGGGGTTTACATAAAGCAAAGTTATTTTAAAAAAAAATTACGAAATGATGAACGAAGCAAAGTGCCGACTACACCGAGCATCTTCTTGTTTCCACTGATCGTAAAAAAAACGACGGTGAACACGTGTCTTCAATTCGCTCTGCCTCTCTCCATCTAGCAGTGCAGAATGGGTGCTACCGGAGTCGATCGGCCGGTGACGTGTGGTGGGGTAAAGTGTGGGTACCGCCGCCCGCCCCCCACCTATTTCAAGACATCTGGCCAGCGTGGAAGAGTAGGCCAAATACCCTTTAGAAGGTCCGAGGCTGCAGGTTGTCCTTTACCTGTCGAGATATCGCCGATGACCACAGCACCCCGGAATGCCTAAACGTTAATTCTAGATTTGAAGCTTTCGTGACTGCAAGGATTCATATTCTTAGGTTTTTTCGGTAAAGTCACGTAGGTAAAACATTAAAATTAATAAAAGTAAAATAAAATAAAAATCACGACGTTTCGGAGGCAACACAAGTCTCCGTCATCAGGAGGCAACACAAGTCTCCGTCATCAGACAGGAGACTTGTGTTGCCTCCGAAACGTCGTGATTTTTATTTTATTTTTTTATTTTATTTTAATTTATTAATTTTAATCTTTTACCTACGTGACTTTACCGAAAAAACCTAAGAATATGCCTAAACGTTGTTTGGACACCCACCATGCACAAGAGAGTGGTGCAGAAGGCGTCACGGGCAGTAGAGGGCAGTGCCGTAAATTCCATTGTTCTCTCCGCTCCTCCCACCTTCAGCACTGGTCAGCGAGGTTCATGAAGTCGGGTCCAAATATCCCTCGCGGCCCGCAAAGCCATGGGGAGAAGCCTTCAAGCAACAGTGTATCGACACAAAAAAAGGAGGTGACACTCGTGCATTCTAGAAAATAGCGTGTCATATGTAACATTACAGTTTTTACATAACTTTGAACTTTTTTTTACAGCACACGGTGTGCAAACATTATAATCAGTAGAAGAGTGGGCCAAAGTACCCCCCCTCCCTCCCTCCCCCGTTAGGTTCGATGGAGCTGCCTCTAAGAGGCCCTCCTTCCAGCAGAGACGTGGGCAAAGCAATTGCAGACTGGCACCGCTGCCAGACGACGTCCTGCATCGTACGACCCACCCTGACCCCTGGGGCTTTCGAAACAAGGTGTGGAGTGTATCGCACTGCGCAATTTTTTTTATTCATTCGGTATGCAACGTTTTTTCCCCCGTCTCCAGCTACATGATAGAAAAAAAGAACACATTCATGTAAATAGGATAAATAAAGGGTATTATTATAATTCCGATTCGTTTGTATGCAAATGTAATAACGGTCGAGCACGATGTATGGAAATTGCAAATAGATACGCTGTGCCAATGTCATTTACAAGCAACAATATAAACGTCAGCCTCATGCAACATTACAATGGTTGGCCTATAAGTCAAGCACCAGTCACCTGGTGACACCCGTTAGACACGAAATTAGCATGATACGTGCGCATGCCTCTTTTGCCGATGAATGCATCCATTGCAACCGTTACGTCACAAAAGGATCCGTTCTCAACTCCGTGTTGCCTGTAACGTGTCGAGAACACCAAACGCAGGGCCTTTGCAGGCCGTAGGGCGAGTGCTGTCGAATTTAAGCCCTGTGTAGGTACATGCTGGGGGGGGGGGGGGCAGCAGCCTTTGTCTCTCCAGTGTTGTTGATGTTTACATGCTGCACAAGGCTTTCTTGGAAAGTACAAGTCAACCCAGGGCAGGGTGGGGTGGAATCAAAGTAACAAGAACAGCGGCAATGCGTGTGGACAACGTGACGAAGGAGTTCTTGAAGAGCCGCAGGTTGGCAACCCGTGACCCCAGGGCAGAAGTCGCAACCGGGTACCCGATACCCGTACCCTACCCGATACCCGGCTACCCGTACCCGGCCGGGTACGGGTACAGGTAAGTTTGCGACTCTGGTGCGGCCGGGTACGGGTAGACCGTGAGTCACTGGTGAGTAACCGTTTGTCACTCATTTCCCAACGTCTTGTCTCTTCTCACAATTCAAGTTCCTAAAATCAACCCACCCGCGCCTGCAACATGGCTTCATCCCAGAGGTCGCAATCAGGTACCCGATACCCGTACCCTACCCGTACCCGGCCGGGTACGGGTAGGGTACGGGTACGGCCGGGTACGGGTACCCGTTTGCGACCCTGGTGCGGCCGGGTACGGGTAAGAAATCAAAACCCGTTTGCGACCTCTGCCCCAGGGGAAGCTCAGGCCTGGTTAAGTTATCACTCGCTCGCGATGTTAGTTTTCTCAAGGCATTTCAACTCGCTCTTGCTCACCACCTCTCTCATATCACAACTCTGATCCCGATGCGGCTTTAAGAACGGCCCTGGGAACGCGAAGTCTCCCGTGTTTTCCAGCCACGTCTCTCGATCAGATATCCTCAACTGTTGAGTGAATT